CCGATCTAGGTGCTGCGATTCAGTCTCTACTGTAATTTACTGTATGTTCTTCAGAATGGATTAGAGCGACTTGAAGAGATTGTTTGAGAACATCACTACTGCCATTTTCAGAATAAACAAAAATGATTCCTGGGCAGACTAAAAACTGACTCATATACCGATTTACACAATACAGTACGTGGATTTTCTACACCCCGTTTCACTAAGAACTCAGCAGTACCGTGCGATATTTCAAAAAATGTTGTTCCATATCGAATTCACAATCTAATCGAGACAGCTTTAACTGAAATCCTTAATAAATATATAATTGTTATAGGAGTTTCGGTTTTATTCTCTTTGCTCGTTTCGCAGCGTGGCATTGTCTTGGCATTGACCGACTGACAGAGAAAGCGAAAGGCAGAGTTTGTATGGAACTCGTTTGTGCATTTCTACTCTAAAACATAACGTGGATTGTTACAATGTACTGACAATAGGATAACTAATTTTTAAAAAAGCAAATTACTTTACAAAAAAATACACCTTACTTTCGGGCCCGTAATTATTTCCGTCAGATTTCTTGTAGAAATTCACTATTCCTTCTTCTCCAGCAGAAGCTGCGTGACGTCACGCCCTTAGCTGTACCAGCTCATGATTTTCTCCGCCTTTTTCCTCATTGAACTTCACTTTCCAGTTATGTTCTTCATATCTATTTAACGCCGTTGCTGTGTTATAATTCACCTGATAGTCCATTTTTATGTTGTCACACTTTATTCCGTCTGTCATTTGTTAAAGCCTGCAGAGGTCAGTGGAGTTTTGGAAACTCAACTTGCAGAAATGTGCCCCAAGCACACATATCAAATTGACTATTCCACGGGCTGCATGGTAACATGGGGTAGTATTACTACCTTGCAGCGCTGGGGCCATGGGTTCAACGCTGGTCCTGGGGTGCTATCTGTGTGGAGTTTGTATGGTCTTCATGTGTTTCTAGCAACAGCACAAATGTCTAGAGTACAGTGTTCAAACATTTAGAACAGTCTAAAAAAAGGCCTGCAAAATAGCCTTTACATTCCAGGATGTATTGAATTAATTCATAATTTCTTAACGACTTATTATGTTGATGAGGTCCCATCAAGAACTCCTTTTTTTGCTTCTTGAGAATTTAATTACTGAGCTTGAATCATTATCCTTTTATAAAGCCCGTCTGAAACAAAACTTGAATGTTTTGACAGAAGGTTCTAGTCTTTAGCTATTATACGAAAGT